AGGGAGTTTGTGTGTTCGCTCAGACACATGAAAAATTAGAGGGAACATTGGCTGTCACCCATAAGCTATACTAAATTTGGAAGTGATATGCTGGCCTTTATTTGGGTAACTGTAAGGTGCTTTTAGATATCATTGTCTGCATTTTTCCATTTGAAGCTTGATATCTGAGAATTACGAAAGAATTAAGAAAGAATCTCTGTCTGAGGACCAATGGTCAAACTGTTTGTCCAATATTCAGAAAGGCTCAATAAGTGCCAGACATAAACTAATCCAGTTTAAAGTCAGTCACAGATTACATTTTTCTAAACTTAAACTTAACCGGATCTATAATTCTGTATCCCCCTTATGTGATAGATGTAATATCGGTGAAGGTTCCCTTGCACATCTATTTTGGCATTGCCCTGTCTTGAAAGCTTTTTGGAGCCAGATTTTTACGTGGTTTTCAAACCAATTTAGGAAAAAAGTACCACTTGATGGTACACTGGCTATACTTGGATCATTTGCATCTATCGAATCTTTTTGCTTTTCACAAAAACAGATAATTACAATGGGTATGCTGGCTGCAAAGAAACTTATTCTTTTACAGTGGCGGTCTTCTTCGGCCCCGTGTTTTAAAAGGTGGCTTAATGAGATGGTGTCTGTGGCCAGGGAACAGATAAGATTTGATAGAAAGGGGAAACTGGCGAGTTTTTGTATGATTTGGCAGCCATTTCTAGAATTCTTAAAAATTAACTGATCATAATTCATACCTCACACTCCGCGTGAATTTTCTTATGTTATTTTACTCCTTATTTAGTTAATATTGTTAGAATTTTTTCTTCCTCTTTTTTCTCCTTTTTTTCATGCTTATAAGTTCACAAATGCTAAATGTAATTGCCCTCAGTTGAATCTGTATAAGCATGTTGTGTTTAATTTAAAAGCAAAAAATAAAAATAATAATAGAATTAAGAAAGAAAGAGGCAGACCAGACCTCATCGGTAATATTACGTCCGGCAATCACACTGAAACCATTTCCTTTTTCACATTCCCCTCCCCTGACACTCCGCTTCATCAATGGGTTCCCAGGGTTACAAAAGCACAACCCACAGATTGACTGGGCCAGGAAAACGATTGCTAGCTGGAGTCTTTTTGTCTCGCTAACCGCACTAAGATCAGTCGTTCCCATAAACACAGGGTTCTCCTTCCCACAGATCTCACAGCCACCTGGTCTTTCCCGGGTACCCTCTGAGTATCATGATTATGGATAAAATGCTCTAACTCCCACCTCACCGTCCATATGATTGTGCTATTGACCGTTGCTGGCTTCTTTTTTGTGCCTAAAAGGGATGGGTTTCTCCAGCCACGTATTGATTATAGAGGGATGAATGACATCACAATAAAGAATAAATACCCACTCCCACTCATTTACTCAGCGTTCGAGTCAATCCAGGGAGCCAATGTCTTCACCAAGTTAGACCTCCACAATGCTTACCACCTCGTCCGGATACGGAAAGTAGATGAATGGAAGACAGCGTTTAACACACCTCTGGGACATTTTGAATACCTCGTTATGCCATTTAGGTTAACTAATTCTCCCGCTGTCTTCCAGGCGCTTGTGAATGACGTGCTCAGAGACTTTTTGGATGTATTCATTTTTGTCTATCTTAAGGACACTCCTAAGGACGTTTTATGACACTGTGGTGGTGTCTGCTATTTTCTATGTTGTGGTCTGCTGGAGTGGTGGAATGGCAGAGAGGGACAGGGGGAAACTCAACAAACTGGTCAGGAGGTTCAG